TCATCCTGTTCTCCGTATCAATGAGTTTTGTTTTATTTTATAGATTCTACATATAAGTGAATTCATATGATATTTGTCTTTCTCTGTCTGACTTATTTCACTTAGCATAATACCCCCAAAGTCCACCCATGTTGTCACACATGGCAAGATTTCATTCTTTTTTTATGGATGAGTACTATTCCATTGTATATACAGAACACATCTTCTTTATCTCTACGTCCATCAGTGGGCACTTAGGTTGTTTTCATATCTTGGCTATTATAAATAATGCTGCGATGAAAATGGGATGTATAAATCTTTTCAAATTAGTGTTTTTGTTTTCTTCAGATAAATACCTAGTAGTAGAATTGCTGGGATAAGATAACATTGGCTTTAAATGGCACATTAGACCAGGTGGACTTAACAGATGTACATAGAACATTTCACCCAAAAACAATAGAATGTACAGTTTTTTCAAGTGCACATGGGACATTCTCCAAAGTACACCACATGTTAGGCCATAAAACAAGTCTCAATGAATTTAAGAGGATTGAAATCCAATCAAGCATCTTTTGTGACTACAGCAGTATGAAACTAGAAATTAATTACAAGAAGAAAAGTGGAAAAATCACAAATAAGTGGAAATTAAACAACATGCTACTGAATAACCAGTGGATCAACAAAGAAATGAAAGGAGAAATAAAAGAATAACTTGAGAGGTACCTGGGTGGCCCAGTTGGTTAAGCATCTGCCTTCCACTCAGGTCATGATCCCATGGTCCTGGGATCAAGCCCCATGTTGCACTCACAGATCCACGAGGAGTCTGCTTCTCCCTCTCCCTCTGCCTCTCTCCCCTGTTCATGCTCTCTGTGCATGTGTGTGTGTGTGTGTGTGTGTGTGTGTGTGTGTGTGTGTCTCTCAAATGCATAAATTAAAAAATCTTAAAAGAATATCTTGAGACAAATGAAAATAGGAATATAACATACCAAAATTGAGGGGATGCTGCAAAAGAATTTTTTTTAAAGATTTTTATTTATTTATTTGACAGAGATCACAACTAGGCAGAGAGGCAGGCAGAGAGAAAGGGGGAGGCAGGCTCCCCACTGAGCAGGGAGCCCGATGTGGGGCTCGATCCCAGGACCCTGGGATCATGACCTGAGCCAAAGGCAGAGGCTTTAACCCACTGAGCCACCCAGGTGCCCCCCTGCAAAAGTAGTTTTAAGGGGAAATTTCATAAGGATACAGATCAAAATTCATACCTGAAGGAACTAGAAAAAGAACAAACAAAGCCCAAAGTTAGTAGAAAGAACAAAATAACAAAGACCAAAGTAGAAATAAATTAAATAGAGACTAAAAAGACAATAGAAAAGATCAAAGAAATTAAGGGGTGGTTCTTTGAAAAGATAAATAAAATTGACAAACCTTTAGCTAGACTCAGCAAGAAAAAAGAGAGAAGGCTCAAGTAAGTAAAATTAGAAATGGAAAAGAAGTTACAACTGACACCACAGAAATACAAAGGAATATAAGAGATTACTTTGAACAATTATTTGCCAACAAGTTGGACATTCTGGATGAAATTGAAAAATCACTAGAAACCAAATCTCCCAGGACTAAATCATGGTAAGTCTGAATAGACTGGTTACGAGTAAGGAGATTCAATGATTAATCAAAATCTGACAACAAACAAAAGCCAAGACCATCTGGGATCACTGTGAATTCTCCCAAACATTCAAAGAAGATTTAATACCTATCCTTCTCAGACTTCCAAAAAATTAGAGGAAGGAATGTTTCCAAACTCATTTTACAAGTCCAGCATTACCCTGACACTGAAACCAGACACGGGAACCACCAAAAAAAAGGAAATAGCTGCTCAATATTTCTGATGAACATAGATGCAAAAATCCTTGACAAAATACTAACAAACCAAATTCAACAATGCATTAAAAGGATCAGATAGCGCGATCAAGTGGGATTTATTCCAGGGATGCAAGGATAGTTCAATATCTATAAATCAGTCAGTGCGATACATCACATTAACAAAGTGGAAGATAAAAGTCATCAACTCAATAGATGCAGAGAAAACATTTGACAAAATTCAACAACCAGATATGATAAAAGCTATCAACAAAGTGGGTAGAGAAGGACCACACCTCAACATAATAAAGGCCACATAGGACAAGCCCACAGCTAGCATCATACTCAAGGCTGAAAAGCTGAAAGCTTTCCTCCAAGATCAGGATCAAGACAAGGATACCCTCCCTTGCCACTTTTATTCAACGTAGTACTGAAAGAACTAGCCAGAGGAATTAGGCAAAGAAAAGAAATAAAAGGCATCCAAAATGGTAAGGAAGAAGTAAAACTGTCACTTTTTACAGATAACCTTAATTTATATATAGAAAACCCTAAAGACTCTACCCCAAAACTATTAGAACTAGTAAATGAATTCAATGAAGTTTCAGGGTATGAAATGAATAGAGAAAAATACGTTGCATTTCTATATACTAGCAGTGAATGATCCTAGAAATTAAGAAAATAATCCCATTTATAATTATATCAAAAAGAATAAAGTATCTAGGAATAAGTTTAAGCAAGGAGGTAGGTGACAGACTATACACTGAAAAGTTTAAGACACTGATGGAAGAAAGACACAATTAAATAGAAAGATATTCTGTGCTTATGGATTGGAAGAATTAATATTGTCAAAATGTCCATACTACCTAAAGCAATGTACAGGTTCAGTGCAATCCCTATCAAAGTTCCAATGTCATTTTTTTCAAAAAAATAGAACCAAAAATTCCTAAAATGTGAATGAAATCATCAGAGACCTCAAATCCCAAAGCAGTCTTGAGAAAGAAAAACAAAGCCAAAATGATTTTTTTTTTTTTTCAAGATAACTAAGCTCTACAGACTTCACAAGGACAAGCAAGGACTTGATCTGTTTGGGTCACCTCCATATCCTCAGAGTCCGAAGCTGTGCCAGGCACATAAGAGTCACAGCAGGTTTTTGTTGAATGAATGAGTGCATGGCTGGATATTTACATGAAACTTATGTGTCTTTTCTTAATTTTGTATTGGGCTTTTAAAAATCATTTCATTTTAAATTTGTGTTCTCAATCTAAGAATAAGCCAGAAATTGCATTTTTACAGAAAATATTTGATTATATATATAATCTTTTTCTCTGTTGCTTTCATATAAAAAAATTAAAAGTCCAAGTACCGACCTTATTTCTTTTAAAAAAACTCTTGAAATTCTGTATCCCCAAAGAATCTTTCTTTAAGACTAATGCTGACATTATTAAACACGTTGGACTAAAACATCAGATTTCCTTTTATCTTGATGAAAGCTTGGTATTTACTATATTTTAGGTCTAATAGTTATATAAAAGTAGCCATTCTGAGCAGGGAAAGAAAAGATAAAGGGCTGGCAATAACTGATTCAGGATTGACTGAAAGATCAGTAATTAGACCATCTTGGAATGAACTCTGTTATTCCTTATAGTCAACCAACAAGCAATTCAGCTAAACTAGTACCAATATAAATGCAGATGTTTCTTACCATATTACTGTATCTTCACTATATTTTGGTAAGTTTGTAAGTACCTAGGTGGAAGGGGAAGAAAGCTGTTTAGTTTAATTTGTATTTTACCCAGCAAAGTGTGTTTAAAAACTTAAGATTTGGTGATATTTTGTGTGCATTCCCTATTGACTTTTGTAGCTGTGTCACATGAGAGAAAAGGTCTTTTTTTTTTTTCCCCCTTAGTGGCCACTGTGTGATGTGTTAGAAGGAACTGATTTGGCTTACTAGGTTTAGAGAAACCAAAACTACGAAAAGCTCTCCCTCCATAATTGGTGATGCGGTATTTGGAGTTTATAAGAAGACTGTAAAGTTTTGACATATCTGTATTATCATAAAAGAACAATTTTAAGGGGCGCCTGGGTGGCTCAGCGGGTTAAAGCCTCTGCCTTCAGCTCAGGTCATGATCCCAGGGTCCTGGGATCGAGTCCCACATCGGGCTCTCTGCTCAGCGGGGAGCTGCTTCCTCCTCTCTCCCTGCCTTCCTCTCTGCCTACTTGTGGTCTCTGTCTGTCAAATAAATAAAAAAATCTTAAAAAAAAAAAAAGAACAATTTTAAGAAATTGAAATTAAGGCTTAATGTATAAAATATTGTTTATGTTAAAAATAGCACAAATATGAAGCAACACAATTCTCCAAGACAGGGAAATTTTATTTAAATAATCTATGTTAAGAATATATTATATGGGGGCGCCTGGGTGGCTCAGTGGGTTAAAGCCTCTGCCTTCGGCTCTCATCATGATCCAAGGGTCCTGGGATCAAGCCCCACATCAGGCTTTGCACAGAAGGGAGCCTGTTTCCCCCTCTCTCTCTGCCTGCCTCTCTGCCTACTTGTGATCTCTGTCAAATAAATAAATAAAATCTTTTTTAAAAAAATATATGAGTGCTTTACATATATTACGTCCTGTAATTTTTAGAATAAATGTACGAATTAAATACAGTCAACCCAACTCTGGGATGAAGAAATTGGCCTTTTCCAAGGCTGCATCACTGGTAGACAGCTGAGCTGCGATCACGCTGATCTTTCCCCTAAACCACTGGGCAGATGACACAGCCAAAAAGATTGGAGGCTCTGAAGTGACCTAAGAAGTAGCAATGTGGAAATGTGCCAATGATAAGTGGAGAAGTTGGATATAAAATTATATGTACGTTACAATTATAGTTGTGTTAATAATTATTTAAATAAAAAGATTGGAGTACAATGTCATAAAGATTTCAGTGCTTGTATTAGATTGGCAAAGTTTGGCGTGATGTTTCTCCTTCATTTTCTAAAGTTTCTGTAGTTGTAGATAAGTCACTTTCAAATTAAAATATCATTAAAATAGAGTGACTGTAGCATCAGTTTAGTTCCTCGGAGTATCTAAAAATCTTAATGGTTTTGATATGCTTCTGAAAGATTGATTACATGGTCATTTGAACTTGTATCAATTTTATTTTTAAATTCCAGATCATCAAGTTATTAGATGGAAAACGATCTCAAACTGTGGGAATCTTGATATCGAGTTTGCACTTAGAAATGAAGGATATCCAGCAGGGTAAGTCTTCTCCATCACTTTTGTTTTTCCAACTTTAATATTTTTCAACATTTTATTGTGAAAAGTTTCAAGCCTATAAACAATTAGAATCCCATAGTAAACCCAGTGTACCAACTCACTCTTGTTTCATCTGAAATACTGTCCCTCACCAGCTAGACTATTATAAAGCAAATCCTAGACATTTTATAATTCTTCTGTTAAAAATGTCAGAACACTGATAAAAAGTTAAAATAATTCCAGTGCAATTGTCAGGCATTTAAAAACATTTACAATAATTTCTCAATATCATCATATATGTAATTCTGATTTCCCCAATTATATACTCACAAATTCATCCATTTGTTTATAATTAGTTTGAATGAGGATCCAAACAACTTTCATGCATTACCTTGGTTGCGTGTCTCTCGGTTTTCTTTTAATCTAGGACTTTCTGCACTCCATCTTTTTTCCTTTGTAATTAATTTTTTTTTTTTTAAGAAACCAAGCCATTTGTCCTGTAGATTTTCGCACATTTTCGATTTTCTGATTGTATTGCCATATTTTTACTTACTATGTTTTTCTGTCCCCTGTGGTTCCTTATGTAAACTGTTAGTTTGATCTACAGACTTGATCCTAGTAGAGGAAGAAGACTTCATAAATGCTATTGCATATTGTATCAAGAAATACATAATATCTATTTGTTTCTTTATGTTGTTAGTGGACACTAAAGATCTTTGCCTGGATTCATTATTTCATTAGAAATTTGCAAAATAACGATACACTGGGGCGCCTGGGTGGCTCAGTGGGTTAAGCCGCTGCCTTCGGCTCGGGTCATGATCTCAGGGTCCTGGGATCGAGTCCCACATCGGGCTCTCTGCTCAGCCAAGAGCCTGCTTCTCTCTCTCTCTCTCTCTCTCTCTCTCTCTGTCTGCCTCTCTGCCTACTTGTGATCTCTGTCAAATAAATAAATAAAATATTAAAAAAAAATAACGATACACTAACTCCATCACTTCTTCTTCATTAGCTGGGATATTTCTATGGTGAAACACTTTGCTTCTTCATCTACTTGTTCATGTCATTGTTTCTTAATCCCTTCCTTTTTTTCAAATGATGCTATTTCAACATGGTTATCTTTGGCTCACTTTGAAATACAACATTTAAAAAAGGAAATTTTACTTACATGTATTTTTCTTAGTCTCTAGAAAAATAGGTCAAAAACCATCTTATGTTTTTGAAATCTATGTCTTGCATGAAAACAGTACTACTCTTTCTTAGTAATCAATTAAATGTAAATCTTTATTTTGACATGTCATTGATAATATTTTCTGAATAGTAATACAATCTCCCATAGATGGTTTTGGTCGAATTCAACATGGGTTTAAAGTGGAGACACTCTCAAACCACATTGCCCTTCAGGTTTTTACTGTTGCCTCAAGTTTGTTTTACACAGGTACACAGCATAAGACTTGCAGAGGTCCCAAACCAAAAGACACTTAGGCACACACTAAGGGTTTAAAATTTTGCTTTATTGCAAACATAAAAAAACTCCCCATAAAACTAAAAATACTCTGAATTAGTTGATGTTCACAGAGGATGCAAACAAGCTGTCTATCTGTAATATTTCAGCTTAATTAAGTAGAACTAAATACCGAAGAATGAATATGAAACCTCAAAAAATGTTGCAGGAGGGGACTTGAATTTGGGCTGGGCAGCTAAAGGATCCACCATCAAAATATGAGAAAGGGATCCTTCAGTGATTTTAGAGGTCAGATCTTCTGGAAGACTTGAGTTTCTCGTATATTCAAACCAGGGAATGGTGACATGACTGCAAAGGCAAAATGAAAAAAATGAAACAGATAAATCATCAAGAAAGCTGATCGTCTTTTGTCAGAGAGATGAGCTTTTTGGATGTAGTCTGAGTTTGGAAAGGAATTCCCCACCTCTAGCGACAGGGTTGTTTCCTAAACCACAGTCTTCTTCCGAGGTTAGATGCCTGGGTTCATCACCATGATGTGCGGCGCCATGGCTACGAGTTTTCGTACTGGCAACAGCACTTGAGACTCGATTCAGTTCGTCTTAGGCACATCGCGCTGTAGTGTCAGGTTGTCATGAGACCAGAGTCGTCCCGGCCGTGTCGCATTCCAGTTACCGCCTCCGGACTACAAACCTCCTTCCCATGGCACCCCAGTCTCGTTGGAGCGAATGTACATTATGAGTGAGGTGAGAGGTTAGTTCCGCCCTGCTTTTCCCAGCGCTCTCCTCTTGGCAAAAGCATGCTCACGTGAAGCCATGGCGAATTTACATGTCAGCATTGGAAATGTCAGTTGTAGCATCAAAGTTTTCTAGGACTCGTCATCTAGTTCTTTCTCCTGTTCCAGGCACCTCCATTCCCCACCACAGAGTTGGCTCCTAAGTTCTTAAAAAAAAAAAAAAAAAAAAAAAAAAAAATCACCTCTATTCCATGTCTTCATTCGGTAATGCATTCCAGATGAATAAAACCCGAGCTTAATTTTTCTTTAGAATCATTTGACTGACACTGGCATCCGAAGGTCACTTAGGAGCCCAAGCTGTGTCAGTTACATTTCGTGCTGAGTCTGTGTCTGGTCGTGAATGGAATGCACTTGGCCTTGTGTTGTCATCCTGATGAAAGGAGTCCCGGTGCTGATGTTGGCCCAGAACGTGTGTTTTAACGTGAGAGGGGCTGCCATGAGATCTGACTGGGGCTGGCCAGCTGGCAGCCAGGCAAGGTCACACAGCACATCAGCCCTGGTGAAATGACCAGAGTGCTGAGGCTGTTCTTCAGCCTGTGGTCATATGGTCATCTTTGTCAAAGCAAAAAGACAGACGCTCTAACTTGCATTTCCCAAACTCACGAGGAGCTGATGTAGAACCCCAAAAGTGAGCATATTCACTTAAGGAAAAGAATTTTCCTTTGCCATGATGAAACTGTTGATCACATCTGTTCATCACTGCATCCATATCACTTGCCTCTCCTCTCTGTATTTGTTTATGCTCTTTTCCCCCTTGCTGGGACGACAGTGTAGTCACCTTGATAATGGTTTTGGGTATGTCTGTTCACATATGTTACCCCCCATAGCTGGATAATCCACTTATTTCTGGTTCATCTCTTAAAAATCAACCTTGTGGGACACCTGGGTGGCTCAGTTGGTTAAGCCGCTGCCTTCAGCTCAGGTCATGATCTCAGGGGCCTGGGATTGAGTCCCGTATCGGGCTCCTTGTCCAGCAGGGAGCCTGCTTCTCTCTCTGTCTCTGCCTGCCACTCTGCCTGCTTGTGCTCTCTCTATGACAAATAAATAAATAAAATCTTTATTTAAAAAAAAAATCTTAAAAAAAAAAAACAAAAACCTTGTCTTCCTCATTTGTAAAGGTGGCCACTCTTCCGTTGTCCACGAGACACTGCCTATGAGCCTATGATGTATATTGAAGAAGTGGGATTCTGAAGCTCTGTACCTCCAGGTCTTACAGAAAGCCAGTGTGCTCCTTTATGCCATGTTGCATTTTTTCTAAGAATTTCTCTGATCATTAAGCCTTGTTTACAACTCATCGAGCTAACATATCATGTATAAAAGCCACTCTTTTTTTTTTTAAATAATTTGATTTTTAAAAAGTAGACTGAACCTTAGAATAAATGGAATCAGACTGTCATGTGTCCTACTCCAGTACATTTGGGCAAAACTCACTTCCTTTCCTCCTGCCTTCCCGCCTTCCCTCCCTCAGGGAACATGGATTGAATGCCAGTTCTGTATCAGGCCCCATGACCACCACAACACATAAGATCCAGACTTTAACATTCTCAAGAGTGCGTGGGGTGGTGGGAGACACATACAAGGCAGCCCAATGGGATGATGATTCTTAAGATGAGTCTTAAAGATAAAACCGTGGTCGTCACACACAGAAGGACAGAAGGCAGGTGAATAGGAGGCCTGCTAGAATATACAGATGGCACGTGAATGTGGGTTGTTTCAGGGCACAAGGCTAAAAAGGCAAGTGGCATCCAGACCAGGCAGGGCCCTGAATATCGTCATACAAACTTGGGATATTATCCCATGAGTAACAGGAAGACACAATTCAAGAGTGTCGGTGCTATGATCTAATTCCAAGTACAGAATGCCTCTCGAGCTGTGGAAGACAGACCTCCAAGGTCTTGCGTGCTCTGGCCCAAGCTGGTACCTCCAACTTGGCTTGGTTGTGCTTGCTTCCCGTCTCACCACACACTAACCACAGCAGTCCTCCTTGATTCCTTAAAAAGGCCAAGTTTTTTTCTTCTTCTGTGTCTTTGAAGGCGTAGCCTTTTTGAATGAGCAGCATTGCACATTCCCTCTGTTTGAAATGCTTTTCCACCCCACTAGATCGAGATCCTTTTCCTTGCTTGGTTTTGGCACATAGGACACCTAAGAGAGCCTACACTAAGTTAATTCTCTTAGTCTACCCAACACCTTACCTCATTTGCTACTTTATTTATGTTTCCATTTACACCCATCACCAGAGTATAAGTTCCAAGAGGGAGATTGCTCAGTGATGTGTCCCTAGCACCTTGCACTGTGCCTAGCACCTGGGGGATGGTCCTTGAGTGTCTGTTGAGTGGAGAAACAGAAATCATACCGAAGGAGGATCAGTCTGTTAGAAAGGGATTGTGATGATTGAGATAATGAATGTGAAGGCCAGAACTAAGGCTGTGTCTATAGAAATATGGGGGAGACCACAGAGAAGGGTTATTTGGAGAGAGAATTATTCCATTTGGCCACATCAGAGGAAGCAGTGATGAAGAAGAAGTCTTATATGTACCTTCGATTTCTGGCTTCAACAAGCATGTATATAATGAATGCTACCAAAACATAAACTGGAAAGAAAGGAGAAAAGGCATAGGTAGATGATTTGAGCCTGAAGTGACTGGAGACATTGAAGCTAACATGTTCAATGAGCATCTGAAAACTCTAGCCTGATGTGAAGTACATAGGGCTATGTTGGAGATAGAACATCGCCAAAAAGGTAACCACTTT